GGCCTTGCAAATCATTTTCTCTATACAACCTTTCCGCACCTTTGTCGTTTTTTTTGGATTTCTCGGCAGTGGAATAATACGCAGGCCGTGGTGGAGCCGCAGGGGAGGTGGTGGCGTTTTTCACTTCGCCGCCGCACCCACACTCCCGTTGGTCCCGCCTTGCTGGCGGGTTCTTGTGCCTTTGGGGAGGAGGCGACGGCGTCCCAACGGGGGCTGCCCCACTCGTCTTAGTCGGCGCGCGGGCGTGTGATGGTTTGAAAAGCACGTACACGATTTGCCTCCTTCTTTTCAAGCCACGCTGGCCGTTGGGAAGTTGGCCAACCTGTGTGAACTGTTGTGCTGTGTGTCCTTGATTTTTCCCGTTGTGGTAGATGCGGCAAAAATCCTTTGAAGTCCATATATTCTTTGGCGTGCGCAGCGGATATTGCCGCCAGTTTGCCCATTGTTATTGCCCCTTTCTTCCCCCACTTTTTTTTTTCATCCGTTCCCCCCCTTCCTCCCCCTCCCCCTCCCCCTCCTCCCTGCGCGTGCGTGCCTGGCTTTTTCTCGCTGCTGCTTTTCTTGCTTTGCGTGCCACCCACGAACCACGCCACTCCACTCCCGCAGACGCGCCGCGGGGGGAGGAGGAGGAGGAGGAGGAGGGATGGGCAAGCAAGGAGCGGAGTGGACGCGATTATTCGCTTCGCGTGTGTGGGGGGAGGAGCGAGGCCCGCGGATCCGGTGGAGCGGCGTTGTCTGTACCTTTTCTTTTCCACCTACCCACCGCGGCAGAGGGACGTTCCCGCCTCCCTTCCAAACTTACTGGGCTTTTGCCGGCAGGGGAGGGGTAACGGGGTAAGTAACGGTGGGCTGTGCCCCCGCAACTTTTTTTTTGTTTTTTTTGCCCGCAGGAAGGGACCCTTTTTCCCGCTGCTCTCCGTTTCTTTTTACTTTATTTTGCTTATTTTATTTTATTTTTGAAAAACTACGACGACGTGGACGCAGCGAAGAAAATTAGCGGCGAGCGGCGCGTGTGGGTGGGCGCACGCAAAAGGCACGCACACCGCTCCTCACAGAAGGGCTCCCTGAGCTGGGCGAGGGCGGGCACACAAGACGGCGGCAGAGAGGGGGGGGGGAAAGGGAAACCACACACACACAACGAAGCTTAGTAACTATGCATCTCGTGGAGCGCGAGGTGGAGGGCCTCGCTTGTCGAGCTCTGCTCGCTCCACCGGGCTGGACGGCGCGGGTGCACCACGACACTCTTGGGGATTCCTCGCTAAACATGGCGCACTTTGAGCGACTTGACGCCTCCGGGGATTCTCTCTACGTCGCAGAGTACTTCGTTCCACGTGCCGCGGCGCGTGACGAGGGCGTCCTTCAACAGCAGCTGCAGCAGCGGTTGGTCGCATGCGCCTCTAACGCCGTGGGGCCGGCACAGTCGCCAGTTTGTGTTGTCCGGAGACTGGAGCCGCCGGAGAGAGCTGCACTGCGCGCGTCGCCGGCGGCGCTGCTTGCCCGACATGCCCTTTTCGTCTGCGTGGCCCTCTGGGCGGCGGACACGGGGCGGGCTGCAATGGAGCAGGTGGCCAATGCGGTCGCAGACGATTTGAGGGGACGCCACATGCGTCTTTGGACGGCGTCGGAGCCTGGGGATGCCACACTTAACTGTGGCCCCGCCGCGGTCTACACCGCGCGGGGTCGCGCCATGATTCATGTCACTGAGCAGGCCTTCTGCGCTTTCGAGTGGAATCCGACGCTCTGTCCGCGCGTGGAGCAGAGGCTCCATACGCTGCAGGCGGAACTAGGCCTGGTCTCAGAGAACCTGCGCCTTGCTATGGGGGGCGACCCCGCTGCCGTCGTCGCTGTGGCGCTTCTGCCCCTGTCCCCCGGCGTGTCGCTGCTGAAGTCTCGCGCGATCGCCCGGGTTTGGGCGCGGCACGTCAAGCGGGGTGGGTGGCACAGTGAACTACTGATGCGCGCGGGCCCCGCCATTCCGGACCTCGCGGCGCCCTGGCGAGTGACACCGCGCGGCGAGTTCTACGTCCTCTCCAAGGAAGCAAGCGAGGTGGACGGGGTGGTGGCGTGGGTCACGGAGCTGCGGGCGGGGAGTGACTGCTGCGTGGTGCTGCTGACCCCGGCGCCTAGCGGGGGGCTGGACCGCGGCGACACACACGGCAGCCCCCATCCCCGGCAGGCCCAGTGTGCGTGGCTGCAGCGCACGTTTCGCGTGTCCATCGCTACTGCGGCGTCGTGGACGCCGCTGGGCGTGGGCAAAGAGCCTGGTCTGCTCTTTCGCGAGGGAAGCCTCGTCGTGCATGTCCCCGCTTCGTCGGTGGCGTACACAAATGCGACCGCGGTGCCCACGGCCGCGGTGAGCCTTGTCTCGCTCGGCGCCATCACCGTGGCGGCGGAGGACGCCGGCCTGCGTCTGCGGCGGCAGGCAACCTTTACCCTCCTCAAGGAGTTCCGCAGCCCTGAGGACTACATCGACTACTTTGTGACGGAGTATATGTACGACACGCCACTTGAGAAAGGCTCGGCGGTCTTTCGTAGGCGTCGTCGACAACCAACACTGCCGCCGCCGTCAAAGGCAAAGCGGAGTTTTGGAGAAGGGGAGGAACATTCGGTGTGGATTCGTCTCAGCGAGGAGGCGGCCGTATACTGCGTGGCGCGCGGGTGTGGTGTGGGCCGCTTGATGCTAACGCAGGCGTGGGTGTTTGGCGCCCCCGCCGTGGATGACGCGGTGGCGGAGGGGTGGGAGGCGTGGGTCTCCGGCGTGTCGGTGTCATGCCTCTCGCCTGCTGAAGTCTGACGCAGCAGCCGCGGCCCTGTCGGTGGGGACGGCGGACGATTTGGCGTGGATGCATCCGCTTCTTGTTTTTTTTTTTCTTTGTCCTTCTGTCTTCGTCGCATGCGCGTGGCCCCTTCGCTTTTTCTCCCTCGCCCGCTGTACTTTTTGCCCTCTTTGCGCTGTGCCCGTGGCTCCGCTGCCTGAGTCGTCGTCGCCGTCTCCCCTCCCAACTCCCTTGCCTTTCCCGTGTCCCCCGAGCCCCACAGACTCCCCGCCGTTACTTTGTAGGGTGCGGGGGCCTCGTTAGAAACACCCATACTTAGCGAGCTATACGCATAGTCAGCTAGTTATTACTGCGTGCGCCCGTGCACGTGCGGTCTGGCACCCATGCACGCTAGGGACGTGTTTTTCCCGCGCAGCTGCAGCCACCTATCCTGCGCGTTCAACACCAGCGGGGAGCTGCGAGTGGCGATGGCCGCGGCGGACCGGCTGCTATTTTTGAGGGAGGGGACGCTTTGCGCATCTGGGCCGCTTTTCGACGACCAAAAGGAGCGGCCGGCGGGGATGGCTGGCCCTGCGGCGAACGCAGCCCTGCGCCAGCTGCGCTTCTGCCACTTCGGCGACGACATCCGCGTGGCGGTGGTGGCGGCGAAGGGGGTGACCATTGTGGACGTCCGCGAGGACGACATGCGGCTGCGCTACAGACCCGTCCTTAAGGGCGGCCACTTCGGCGCCACTCTGGAGGGGCGGGGCGCGGCGTCCGCCGCGCTGCAGGAGGCACCCGCGCCGCCCTCCCCTGCGCCACGGTGGCTCACCGGGTGGGAGACGTCCGTGCGCCACGAGGGGGTGCGTGAGGCGGTGGACGCGGAGTTCGTTGCGGTCGACTCCCTCGCCGTCGTCTTCAGCGACGGGGCGGTGGTCGTCGACGTGGGCGCGGACGGCGACACGGTGAAGTGGCGCATGTGGGGCTCCTACAGCGCCGTGGCGGTGTGCCGCACGAACATGCACCTGGCGTTTGCGTCGCACGCCGCCGCGGTGGCGGTGTTCCCGCTGAAGGTGCGTCCGCGGCGGTGCGCGTCGTCGTCGTCGTCGTCGTTGCCGCCGGAGGAGGAGGGGGAGCCGAGCCTTCTCTACTCGCCCACGCGCCGGAGGGCCTCTCTAGCCTCGAAGGATTCGCTGCAGCGCGACAAGTTTGCGCTGCGCGGGGTGTCGGCGCGGCTGGGGGCCTGCAAAGTCGCCGCGATCGAGTGGCACCGCATCGCCAGCCACACCGTCCTCTGCGTCACCTGCGAGGACCCGCAAGACGGGCAGCTCTCTGTCGCCCTTTTCAGCGTGCAGTTCATACCGGAGGTGAGCGGCGACCTCCGCGACTTGGCGCTGCGCCGCGCCGCCGACTTCGACGCCACGCAGTGCGGGGAGGGCGATCACGCACTTCAGCTCGTGCTTTCCGAGACGGTCTCGCTGCGCGCGATGTCGTCGTCGCTGCGCGCGCAGCTTGTGCCGAGCTTCTCACGCTCCCGCGACACCACCGCGCTGGGCAACAAGCTGGAGTTTCTCTGCTTCGACGAGGACGGCACGGTGCGCACCGTCTGCTACCGGTTTGGGCAGCAGAAGCAAGGGGGGTTTCCGAAGGAGCGCTCCGCCGGCCTGCGGGCCTCCAAACTGCTGCTTCCGCTACAGGAGAAATACGGCCGCCTTGTTCGCGTGGAGGCGCTGCCCGTCTGGAAATCCCGCGCGGTTGAGTTTGGCGCCTTTACGCCGCAGGCCGAGCAGCTCCTGCGGGCGCGTAGGTATCGCCTGCTGGTGCACTTTGCCAACGGCATGGTAGCGAAGGTGATGCTCGACTTCCTGACGCGGGCGGTGCGGGTGGAGGCGTTTCTGACTCTCGGTGTGGACCCGCCGCCGCTGCAGCTCCGCACCGCGCGGGGCGCCGAGGGGGCGGTGCTGCTCTTGGGCCTCACCCCCGAGCGCGCGTTCGTCATTGAGCAGGTGACGCGGAGCCACGGCGTCGCCGAGGCCACGGTGCTGGCAGCGTCGCCCATCCCTGTGGAGTACCGCCGACGCATGCAGGCGCCGCAGGCGGACGCCGCGGCAGAGGCGGTCAGGCTTTTCGTGGAGGTGAAGTGCCCCGAGAAGGCGCGCATGCTTCCTGCGCTGCTGAAGGCCTGCGGCGGGGACGCAGGGCGGCTGCTAACGCAACTGGCGGCAAGGTACGGCCCACTCGACGCGCCCGGTGCCGCGCCGCAGGGGGAGGCCCATGACGTCGGCGCTCCCGGCGGCGTGTTGGACGCCCACGCGAGTTCGTCCCCCTCGCCGCCGCCGCCGCTGCAGACGGGGTTTGGGCTGCAGCAGGTGCAGACCACCGCAGAGGGTGTCTGCTGCTCCACACGGTACGCAATCAACGACAGAGAGGCGTGGTGGTGCATCCCCGCCGCCCTCCTCGAGAGCTTTGCGGCGGCGCAAAGCGAGCTGCTCCTGCCCGCGGCGCGAATCCCTGCGACGTCGCCGCTGCGCTCGTTAGCGGCCGCCCCCGCTGAGGCACGACGCCGCTGCCCCCATGACGACGAGGTGACGTGCGAATGGGTGGAGGGCGCCAACTGCGTCACGGTGCGGGCGGCCTTCCTTCCCGATTCTCCTCCCTTGTCGTTTCAGCCCTTTGACGCCGCGCCGCGGTGCCGCGTGGAGGAGGCCAAGGCGGTGCGGCTCGCGAGCGCGGGCCTCGTTGTTGGCGTGCTGGGCGCTGTCCATGGCGCGGCGGGGGGGCGGGTGCTGTGGCTCTACGCACTGGATCTGCTCCGCGACCTCGCGGCGCCACCCGCCTTCGTCGCGGAGCTGCGGCTTGACGACGTGCTGGCGTTCGCGCTGAGCCGCAACGCCGGCGCCTTCACGCTGCGCCGCCACGGCAGCACGATCGAGCGCTGGGTTCGGGCGCCGACGGGCGGGCCTTGCTGGATTCGGGCGGCGGCGCCGCAGGAGGCCGGCTGGCGCGGCGAAATCGCGGCGATGGCCCCGGTCTGGGCGGGGGACGCCGCGGGTGCCGGCGGCGGGGGCGCGCGCGTCGCGCAGCTGCTGTTTTCCCCCGTCGACGGCGCCTTCATTCACGCCTGGAGCCCCGCGCCCGCTGCCACGCCGCCCCGCAGCTCCGACGACGACGACGACGACGGCGCGAATCCCTGCGACGACGCCGGCCGGGAGGCGGCCGCGGCGGTGTATCACCCCACGATGCTGCTGGCGCTTCTTGGGATGGGGCGGTGGCGGGCGGCGCGGTCTATACTGGCGGACGTGCTGCAGCTCGCCCGTGCGGCGACGGCCGGCGGGGGCGCTGCCGCAGACGAGACCACCACCGCCACCACTAACGACAGCAACGTCAATAGCAGCGGCAACAACAACCCTCGCGTGTTGGCGCAGGCGCTGTGCCGCAATCCTGTGAGCGCCCGGCTCTGCGAGCGGCCTTCCGTGGCGCACGCGGACTTGGACACCGCCCTCGCCCTCGCCGACGTCGCGCTTGACCGCAGCGCGCAGATGCGGCGTCTCTTGGAACTGGATGAGCGAAGCCCGGAGAACGCGCTGCTTGGCAGCGAATTCGCGGCAGACATGCTCGAGCAGGTCATGGAGCAGCTTGCCTTGGTGCGGCTGCGCGGGCTCAGCAGCCAGGAGCAGCTTGGCCTCTTCTGCATCGTGGATGCCATGCGGGCCGTGAGGCTGTCGAAAGTTGGCATGGACGCCGCGGCGGCAAAGTCCTTTTTTCTGCACAAACTGCACCAACTCCGTCGACGCCTTGGCGTGCATGAGGCGCCGACCAGCAGCCTCCTCAACCCCCACAGCGCATTCCTCTGGGCGGCCCTCTCCGACGCGCAGCCGCAGCTGCTGGACGAGCTCCTCGGCGGGGCTGCCGCGAAGGCTGCTGTGCCGTGGGCCGAGGTGGAGGCTGCCGGCGTGCCGTTTTGGCTGCAGTCGCTGCTGGGGCTGCGGGGCCTGGCGGAGAGACTGGCGCGGGGCCAGTACCAGGCAACGAAGGATGTGCGCGAGTGCGCCCTCATGTACGTTCTCGCCGGCAAGGTGGGCGTACTCGCGGCCCTCTGCAAGGCGGAGCGGAACGCGAAGCTGCACGCCTTCTTCCTGCGCGACTTCAACGAGGCAAATAATAAGGCGGCCGCCTCCAGCAACGCGTTCGCGGCCGTGAGCAAGAATATGGTGTCGTACGGCGCCGCCTTTTTTCTCCTCGCCGGGGAGCCTCGGAACGCGGCGCAGGTGCTGCTGCAGCGACAGGGCAGTGTTGCGCTCGCCCTGTTGGTTTTGCGTCTCGCCAGCAACGACGATCGGGAGGACCTGCTCTGGTTCTTGGAGCAGCGCCGCCGCGAGGAGGCGGAGTATGGGCCGGTGGACGTCTGGGAGGAGGCGTGCCTGCTCTGGCGCTGCGGCCGGACGCGGGAGGCGCGCCTGCTGCTCGCGCGTCACGTCCCGCGGAGTGCCGTGGAGGCTGCCGAGATCGTCGGCCTGCTGCGCGGCGAGCGGCGGCGCGTGCGGGGCGAGGGGGGACTCACGCCGCTGCGCGAGCTGCTGCTGCTGATGCACCTGACGCACCTCTCGGCGACCGCGGGGTTGCAGCTGCTGGCCATCATGAGCGGCCGCGAGGCGGAGGCGCTGCTGGCGCAGGTGCGAGGCGCAAAGACGGGGGAAGCGGCGCAGGCGGCGGCGCGACGCACCGTCGCCGCACGTACCGAGGCCGACTTCAACACCGGCACGCTGGCGTTCCGCGGCTTCGACTTGGACGACGACGACGACGACGACGCAGAGGAGGCCGGGGGCGGTGACAACTTCCCCAGGGGCAAGCAGTCGGCGGCGGCCGCCGATGCACAACTGACTTCTGCGGCTGCAGCTGAGGCCGATGCGGCAGACGCGGACCAGCTCGACGCGGTCGCGGCGGTGGCGCTGGAAAAGGAGCTGCAGTGGGCCCAGCACCGGCTTCTCAACGCGGTCGCGACGGAGGCCCCGGCGGAGCCGCGCGACGGCGGCAGGCGGGCGCTGCATGCGTTTGTCGTCCGCACTGCTCGCTTGGTGGTGGACGCCGTCAGGCGTGCCCCCGTAGTCCTTGTGGAGGATCGCCTGACGGGTTTCTTGGCGGCGCTGCAGGCGCTGCGTGGCGAGCCGTCGCCGGGGGAGCTGTTCCCGGCGCCTGCGCTGGGTGGCGTGGTGGCGCGCCTCGTCCTTGTCGCCGTGCGCCTGGTGTTGCTCTCCGTGGCGCTGCAGAACGCCGACTATGCGCTGGCGACGGCCCTGCTGGGGTCCCCAACGGTGGTGAATGCCCTTCACGAGCAGCACGCGGAGGCGGCGACGCTGGACTCCGTCCTGCCATACGTGCGTGAGCTGCAGCTCGTCCTCAGCCGCGTACGGGCCATGACGCTGGAGCAGCCCACGCACGATGAGACGGAGGCGGCCGCAACCGCCTCGCCGTTTCAGGTATTGTCGCACACGGACAGTGACGGCGACGCCGTGCTGCAGGCGAAGCTGCACGAGGAGCGGCTCCGCGCCCTGCTGCTTCTCTGGGCTGCCGCCTTTCTGCAGCTGTGTGCGCTGGGCGAGCTAAGGGAGGAGGTGCATCGCATGCGCGACGCCCTGGCGAGCCTCCCGCGGCCGCCGCAGTACGCCCAACTCCTGCCGTGGCTGCTCGGCTGCCTGCTTTGCCGCACCACGTTGGACTTCCACGCGGCTGCCTCGCAGCTGGTTGGCCACGTGGTGGCGGTGCGGCAGCTCGACGACAGCCTCCTCACGAACGCCAACGGCATCTTCATTGAGGAGGAGCAGGAGCTGCGTCGGGTGGCGGAGCTGCTCGAGAACAACCTCCTCGCGAGCACCGACGACGCCGATTTGCCGCTTCCGCTGCAGACCGTCGCGCTGGACATATGCGTAGCCCGCGCGGAGTTATTCTGGCAGCTCCCGTGCATCACTGCGAAGTTCTCCGTCGACACCGACACAGTCGTGCGGCTCCTGCGGGAGGCGACGCGCCCGCACGCCACGGCCCACCTCCTCTACGACCAGCTGAGCGACGGCGCCGTGGCGACGCTGCGGAGCATGGAGGTGGCGTGGCTGCGGCGCTCCCACACCCACGCGAGCTTCCGCGAGTTTATGCTGGAGACCGGTCTCCGCGGGGGTTTGGCGCAGACCACCACGACCGACCGGCTGGTGCTGCAGCAGTCCTACTCCTCCATCTGCTCCCTCGACTACGACCGCTCCAGCTGCGACAGCCTGGTGTGGGGCACCGACGCCGGCGCCGAGGTGGGCCACGGCTACCGCGAGATACTGGCCGGCGACAACGAGGCCGCGTTCCTGCGGGATAAGCCGGACCGCAACCTCGTGACGGCGGCCCTGTCAGCGGGGCCGCTGCGCGGGGGCGCGGGGCGGGGGCGGGGCGGCGGCCCCGCGGAACCCGAAGGCGCTGTCGCACCGACCCCGCTTCTCACACGCCGCCCACGCGCAGGTCGCCTCCCACCCCCACCTTCCCTTCTTCCTCACGCGCCACATCGACGGGTGCGTGGACCTCTACTCCTTCACTTCCACCGAGTGCGTGGCGACGTTCCTCTGCCGCGGCAGTCACGTGGTGACGGACATCGCCTACTCTCCCAACGGGTACGTCTTTGCGGCGGGCCTGGCAGACGGAAGCGTGGCCGTGTGGCGGTTTGACCTCAGCGCCTCCTCGAGCGTGCCCCTCTTTCTGCACCGCCTCCTCCCGGCCGAGGGGGTGAAGGTGACGCTCTTCTTTGAGGACCAGCAGTCGCTGCTCCTGGTGGCTGGCTTCGACTACGCCGCGGAGGAGGAGCAGGAGAGGCCGGCAGGGAAGGCGCCTAAGGCACGGCGCGGCGGGGACGGCGGAAACCCGCACAAGCGACGCACCGGCGACCGCGCCCGCCGCGCCGTCGGGGTGTTGCTTGTGGTCGACCTTCTGCTCAATGGCGGGGCGGTGGTGGCGCGTCGCGAGCTGCCGTTCGTGCCGGAGTACGCGGTGCGCGTAACGGGGCTGGACCTCGTCCTCTGCGTCGCCGCCGACGGTCGGCTGCTGCTCTTTGACGTGTGGAAGTCGCAGCTGCACATCCTCGGCGTCGCCCCTCCCGCCGCTCCGCCCACCGCCCCGCCCATCGCCGTCTCGTGCGTTGCCGTGAGCCGCTACGACGACGTGCTGGCCGTCGGCACGGCGGACGGGCACGCGCTGCTGCTGCGGTTCCGCACCCTCCTCGAGGCGAAGGCCGCGTGCGTGGAGGAGGTGGCGTGCGGCCCCGCCGCGGTAACGTACGCCGCGGCGGAGAACGTCCTCCAGCGCGCCTCGCGGCTGCAGCTCGCGCCGGTGCTGAAGTCGCACTCGGGCGTTTCCTGCATGGTCTTCGCCCCCTCCGTGCTTCTCGCCGGCCTCAGCGACGGCAAACTTGTCGCGGCGACGCTTGTCTCGCACGCCCTCCGACAAGGCGCCCCTCCCGCCGCCGCCGCAGCGGGGGGTTTGGCTGACACGCCGAGCACGCGGCACGGAGACTGAAAGCGACGAAGGAGGAGGAGGATCAACACCGAAAGAAACGAGGAAAGAAAAACAAGCAAGAGCACGTCCACTCTCGCTGCTGGGAGTCTCGTGTTGCGTGTGTGCTCGTTGTCGCACGCGACGGATGTGTATTGGCGCAGCGTCTTGCTTGTTGTACGCGATGTTGCGTGTTCTTGCGTGCGTGGGGAAAAAGCAGACCGTTTCCGCCGCCGTTGTTGTTGTTGTTGCTGCTGCTGCGTCTCTGTCTTTTCCCTATCCTCTTCCACGTGCCTCCCGACACCTCCGTTGCGCACAGGTAGTTCTGCACACATCCACCGGCGCGTGGGCCTGCGCAAACAGAGGGAAGGATAAGGAAAGAGAGAGAGAGAGAGAGACGGAAGAGAAAGCGATGCTGCGGCGGGGGCTGGCGTTGCTGATCGGCGTCGAGAGCGACATCTTCATCTCGGTGGTGAGGGACAAGAGGTACCTGGAGCACCGCCTCGCCCTCCTCGGCAAGGAGGACCCCACGCTGAAGCCGCGGCCGCTCTCGCCGGAGGAGGTCCAGCGCTTCACCGCCTCGGTGGGCAGCGCGGAGTCGCTCTTCAACAAGGCGTCCGGCGCAACGCCGTCCAACGTCGTCGACGAGGCCACCGGCGCGCCCGTTGGCAGCACGCAGCTCAACCCGACGCGCTACGGCGACTGGGAGAGCAACGGCCGGTGCCACGACTTCTGAGCGGGCGGGCAGACACGTGGAGGCCGCGCGCAACGACAAACTTGCAAATGCACACGCACGCACGCATGCTGTCTGCATGTGTGTGTGTTTTTTTTACCCCGTCTTTTCCTTCTGCTTGTCCCCGCTCTCGCCTACTCGCCTTCTCTACGCATTTCTGTGTGTGTGGGTTTTCACCATCTTCCCCCCCCCCTTTTGCATGCGCCACCGCCGCTTTCTTTGGCTTCCGCGCCTCTGCGCCTGTCTCCCTCTCTATCCCGCCGCTAGCAAGCAACGCACTGCGCCGTCGCGGATCCCCACCGGCGGCGGCTGTAGCGACCGAGCGAAGACAAAAAAGAAGGGGGAGTAAAAAAGAAAATAAAGGGTTGAGGTTTAGGCTGCCGCGCCACACACGCCTCAGCCGTTTTCCTCTTCTCTATCACGCTGTCCGACCGGCCCTCAGGAGAGAGAGGCGAGGCAGCAGGACACCGAGTATATATATATATATATATTATATTATATTGTATTCGCACGGAAGGGCAGAGGGAGCGAGAGCAAAGGCTTCGTCAGTGGCCGTGGTATTTATATATTTTAATCTTTTTTTCTTTTGTTTTTGTTTTTGTTTTTGGTGTTTAGTGTGTTAGCAATGTCGTTGCAGTTATTTAGTTTCGGACACCCCTGCGAGCACCAGCTGCGCCGGACGTGCATCGGCGGCTCCAGCTGCCCCCTCAACGGCTACCCCGACAACTGGTGCTGCAGCTTCATCAAGGGCAAGATCAACTTTAAGCGGGACAAGCCGTGCGAGGGGCCACGCTGTCGCTGGGGCTTCACGCACCCCTCACAGTCGCAGTTCGACGCGGTCACGCACGTGCTCAACGAGAGCCGCCCCATCGCCGCCAAGCTCGACGACGCGGACGACAAGGAGCAGCTCAGCTTCAACATAGAAAACTCCCACCTCGTAGACACGGTGCAGTGCGCCCTGCATATGATGCGGCACCCGCCGATTAGCCGCGCCACGCGCGTGGGGCAGCTGCTGGCGTACGCGGCGCTGCGGGCGGCGGACCCAAAGGTCTTCATGCAGCTGCTCAAGACCCTGAAGAAGCCGGTGGACGGCTACCTGCTGGGCGCCTACGACTATCTCACGAGTGGCAAGCTGCCCGCGCCCGCGCCCGCCGCCGCCGCCGCCGCCGCCGCCGCCGCCGCCACCACCACCAATGCGCAGGGGAAAGCCGCAGGCAAGAAGGGCCATAGTGAGAAGAAGGAGGACGCCTCTGAAGAGTTGCGGAACGACATGGTAGACCTCATGAACGCCGCGCTCAGCTCCGGTGGCCAGCTTGTCAACCGCGAGGACCAGCACACCCTGCAGGCGGTATTCATCCAGGCCCTCCGCAGCTACCCCAAGAGCAACAAGAAGCGGCAGGAGATGTTAGAGTTGGCCGTCGCGAAGTTTGGCAGCCGGCCGGCGGCGAAGAGCGCCCCATCCACCACGACTGCCGCGGGCCAGACAGCCGCCGCAGCCAATGCCCAGAATGCCGCCACCGCCACCGCGGCCGCGGCGAATACTCCCAGACACGCTGGCGTGGCGGGCACGACGGCGGCAGCCGGTGCCGCGGCGTCTGGGAAGGCCGGGGCAGGAACAAGCCCCAACGCGGCTGCGACTGCGACTGCGGCGGCGGCGGCGGGTGGCGGTGGCAGTAGCAGCAGCGCCGCGGTGGCCGGCGGCGGAGGAGCTCCGTCGAAGGTGGCGGCGGCGCTGGAGGAGGAGGGCGCCGCCCTCGCCGGCGCCAACCCCGGCGCAAGTAGCAGCAACAGCGCGGCCTCCACGCGACGCCCGCAGGCGGTTGGCGGCGCCTCCCCGCCGACGACGGTAGGGGGCGCGCGCAGCAAAGACGCCAGCGGTGCCTCCCCCGCGCGGCGGCCGCCGGCGACGACGCAGGAGCCCCCCCCACAGCGACAGATGCCCGCGCTGCCGCCGCTGCCGCCGCCGCAGCCGGTTGTGGGCATCAGCCGGGTGGCGCAGCAGGCGCAGCAGCCGCCCCCCCGCCACTACGAGCCGATCCGCACAGACCTGCCGCTCCCGAACGTCGCCCTCTGCGGCGGCCTCTTTGGGCTCACGCCGCAGTCCGCCGCCTGGGCGCTGCTCGGCGCCGCCTCCTGCTTCACGCCCGCCGCTGCCGCCGCCGCCTCCTGCGGCTCCCCCTGCGCAGAGGCTGTAGCGGAGGTGGACGAGAAGCTGCTGCGCTTCGTGGCTGCCTCGGCGCCGGCGCACAACTTCTTCAGCGGCCTCGACGGGCTGCCGGCGGAGAAGCCGGGGATGAAGGCGATCTACGACGACTGAGCCCCCCTCCCTCCCCCCCCCCGCCACGCGCGCACGGCGAGGAAGCAAACAAAACAACAGCCACACGCGGGACAAGACGGAAGAAGAAGGGTGGGGGAAGCAAAAAAGCAAAGTAAACGAAGAAAAAGGAAGCAACGGCAACAAACAATAAACTGAGGAAAAAGAAACCGCAAAGAAAAAAAGAAAACAAGAAAAAACAATAAAAATATCAACGGCCGCAACAAGACAGGGGCGCGACGGTGCGGCGCAGCTGCGCCAGCCGGGGCCCTCAAGTGGAGTCGGGCGAAAAAGAACGAAGGAAGAAAAAGGAAACAGATAAGAAGGGAAGAAGCGAAAGAAGGGCAAAAAAGGGAGGAGGAATAGGAACTGAGTTTAACTGAGATAACGAAAGAGCATTGAGAAGGCGCCGGGAGGGAGCGAGCGTCAAAGCAGCACCCCGAAACCAGACAGAAACAGCGGAGAAAAAGAAAAGGAACGGAAAAGAAAAATGAAAAGAGGGGACCCCGGCCGCTGGGGACAAGAGGTTCTTGCGGTTCCGAGTAGAGAGGGGGAAACGAGTTTTTGCTGGAGGCGCTGTGGGCGCGGGCGCGGGAGGGAGAGCGGCGTCTTGGGCACGCCGAGGCTCGACGCTTGCAGAGGCAGCTTCACCGCAACTTTCTATTGAAAGAAGATTGAGGAATTCTTTGTTTGTGTGTATGTATGCGAAGTTTTTTTTCTTTTCGTTTTGCGTGCGTGTGCCTGCGTCTTCCTTTGGCTGCTTGGAGGGGTCGGCGTTGCCGG